CTGCTCAGCAGGGAGCCTGCTTCTCCCTCTGACCCTCTTCCCTCTCGTGCTCTCTCTCATTCTCTCTCTCAAATAAATAAATAAAATCTTTAAAAAAATTTTTTTTTTCATCATATTTTGGGATTGGGAAATGTTAGGCCAATATTAGGATGCCTGAGAAGACTGTGGAAAATACTGCATTTCATTGTTTGCGGAAGTCTTGACCAAGGTTAGCAACTGCCTGTGTCCCAGCTTGTATTGAGCTGCAGGGCCTGCGATTGCCCCCCTGCAGGCTCCGGGAATGGTAAGCACTCCTCCTTGGTGTCTATAACTGGCATCTCAGTTACGGTTTATTCATGTGAGCAATGCCTCTCTTCTCTTTGCCAGAGCTCCAGGAAGTTGATAAGTAGCTTCAGAGTTGTGTTTTTCCCTGACATTGACCAATGGGATAGGTATGTGGTCTTCGCCATTTTGGACTGTCTCCTCCTATCTGAGCATCTATTGTCTTGCCTGGGACACTGGGCATTTTTTTTAAAAACTCCTGGGAGCAGGGGTGCCGGGGTGGCTCAGTCAGTTAAGTGTCTGCCTTTGGCTCAGATCATGATCCCAGAGTCCTGGGATCAAGCCCCGCGTCGGGCTCCTTGCTTAGTTGGGAGTCTGCTTCTCCCTCTCCCTCTGCCTCTCCTCCTTGCTCTTGCTCTCTCTCCCTCTCTCAAATAAAGAAATTAAAATAAAATAAAAACTCTTGAGAACGGATTGTCCTTGACGATTGAGTGAAGAATCCATGGCCAAGGACTGGGAAATAGCTCACTAGACCAGGGTTTTTCCACTCTGCACTTTGGAGGCTGGATAATTCTTTGTTGGGGAGGGAGGTGTCCTGTGCACTGTAGGATGCTTAGCAGCATCCCTGGCTTCCACCCACCACAGGCCAGGGGCACTCTCTCAGTGTGGCAACCAAAGTATTTCCAGACATCACCCAGATGTCTGGGGAAACGAAATCATCCTGGCTGGGAACCCTTGCCTTAGAAGATGAGACTCATGGTCCCTTGTAGATACTACAGCTGTGGAAGTGGTGGGGGAGGCAACCCCTGGATGAAGGCCCCTAACTTGGAGCAAGAGAAAGAATGAAGGGCAAAGATAGGAGAAATGTGTCAGGCAGGTAAATGGAGCCAGTAAGTTAGGAGTGGGGGCTCCAGGGTAGCAGTACATGACAGTGGCGAGAAGGAGGGGTGGTGCAGGGCTTGGAGGCTGGGGGATGCGGTGTGAGGTTCTGTCTAGTAATAACTGGGAGGAGTGTGTTAGCCAGAGCCTGGTCTCCTCTCCAGAGGGAGGCATCCCAGCCTTCCACCATCTCTCTGCTGGGGCCAGCCTTGAGCACTTCAGGACTCAAGATCCTCTTAAGTATTTTACTGCTTTCCTCCTGACCTTGTGGGGAGAGGTATGTGAATCTATCAAGTGGGTTAAGCTCCTTGGAGAGAGATTGCAATTCTTTGATCTTTATTCACTCAACAGACATTTAGCAGGCACCCACTTGGGCAGGGGCTGTGCCAGGCACTAGGGACCCCACCAGTCAGACCAGAACTGCATGGTCTGGCTGGGGAGACGACTCAGCCAGCACAGGCCACCCTGGGAGAAGAAGGCAGGCCCTGTTGTCAGGCTGCTCAGGTCCACATCCCACCTGTGCTCCTGGCTGTTCCACCTCCTTTGGCCTCAGTGTCCCAGTCTGTAAGATGGAGTAGTGAGACGTCTTATCCCAGATGGGTATGGAGAGGTGTGTACAGCAGCGCCTGGCATTAGCACTCAGTGATCCTGCTGTCCTTATTGTTAATGATTCATTATCGAAACTACTACATAAAGGCTATAGTAGAGTGCCCAGAAAACTCTGAGGGACAAGTGATCAGAGATTCACAGAAGTGGCTTTTCTGAGCTGGGTCTTAAAGGATTAGTGGGACTTTTATCAGGAAAAAGTCGTGGCGTTGTAGAAAGATCACACACTAAGATGCAGGCAGGAAGTCAAAGATTGTGAGCAAGGGAGAATGGCTTATAGGGGACAGCTACTGGCTGTTAAGATCCGGAGCCTCGGGCAGGGGTGGGCCGTCAGGCTGGGAAGGAAGGCGGGTGGGGTCGCTGGAGAAGGGACTTGGTCTGAATGGACGTAAGTGCCCAAACCCTTCGGCTTGGATGTGCTTCATTTGTTACTTCTTTTTGTTATTTCTTTTCTCCAGAACAGATTTGGAAGACCTTGCCATTTTAATCCCATTATCTTTCCCTGAAGTGCTAAGTGTGCTCCCTTACCGGGAGGCATCATTAAACCTTCAGAAACTGAAAAGCAAGTCCGTCTTGCTGTCCCCGTGCTGTCAAATATGGGGCTGGTGGCGCACAGGGGGACACTGGCAACCACGTCACATCAGGAGCCTGGCAGATGGAGCACGCCATCTCTTGTCTGGGCGCCCTTGAGCCTTTCCGGATGGTGTTGGCGTGCTGTTCTACTCACTGGAGTTCACAGAGGAGCAAATCAACCAACCAGCCTTGGGTCACGATGCATTTTCCACCTCTCTCTTTTCGGATGTTCCCATGTGGCCTCAGGGCAGGGGCTGGAAACCATCCTGGCAGACGTGGCTAATAACTGGGGCATCTGTGCCAAAGGAGCGGCGTGTTTATTTCTCCGGAACCTGTGGCACCATGCCCGAGGCTTTGCTGAATCAGCCTGGTGCCGTCTGGCGTCCCCCTGGATGCTGAAACCTCAGTCCCAAGGTCACAAGTGTCCCCTGGATGGCTCTGGCTTTTGCTTCACTACTCTCTGAAACTTCATACAGTGAATATGTAGATATGTCAATATCTATTGAACTCTTGCCAGGCCCACGGGGGGTGATTATGAATGAGAAAGATACCATCCTTGGCTTTGGGAGACACATAGTCTTATGTGAGAGACAGACATTGACTACACCATTGCAGGTGGTGTGGATCAGGGCTAAGAAAGGGGAACGTCCAGAGTCACAGCAAGAGCAAGCTAGTCTGGGGTGTGAGGTGTGACAAGGTCAGGAAAGGCCTCCTAAGAAAGTAAGACTCCCTGAGCTCTGAGAATGCTTGGCGCTGGGGCAGGGTGGAGTGGTTGGAAGGCCCTCCCTCACCAAGCTGGCTCATGACTGAAGCCAGAAGGCTCCTCCACAAGGCATCCCCCTCTGCCTGCCCAGTGCCTTTGACACTGTTGCCTTCTTTCTCTTTCTTAAATTCCTTTCCTCCCTCCCCCAGGCTTACTTTTTTCCCCTTCCTTTCAGACTACTCGTTCATCCCCTTTGCTGGCTTCTCTTGCACCCCACACATAAACTCTGGCCTTCCCAGAGGATGGCCTTGTGCTCCAAAGCAGTAGACAGCGGTGGTGAGAAGCCAGGTGTGGAGGAGGCCAACCTGGCTGGGTTCTAGCCCCCTGCTTTACTCGTTATGGTGCTACAACCTTAGACAAGCAAGTGACTAACGGCTCCATGTGTCAGTATCCTGTCTATGAAAAAGGTTCGTTTTACCAGGCCAGTCTGAGGACTGAGGCGATGCCTATAAAGCACGTAGTGCAAGGCCTGTGTGAGCCAAAGTTGCAAAACCCTTTCTCTTTCAACATCGGAAAGAGTTCCATTCACTTTCTGTTTTTCCCTGGAAACCTGATGAATATGGAAGGTCAAGGTGTCACCTGGCCACGGAGCTAATGGGAAAGCTGACCCCTGCATGGTACATTGAATCTGGCCTGGGAGTTCTCTGTATGACCTCTAAATAACCTGATGAGGAAGCCATGGGTTTGGGCTTCCGGAATGTGGTGTCTCCTTGCAGGGACCCTAGAAGCTCCATCTGTGGGGCTGTTACAGGAGATGTTGGCTCCTGTGGGGCCTGGGACCAGGGTGGCTTTGTTCCCAGTCAGCTTACACCTGGCAGGTGACTTCATCCCTCAGATGAATGGATTAAACCTTTGCAGCTCGAACGTTCTGTCAGTTCATTCACTTAAAAATATCCATTGAGAGCCTTCTATCTGGTAGGCACTGAGAACACATTGTTGAACAAAACATTCATTCCGTGCTCTGAAGGCACTGATAGTTCAATTGGGAGATGTTGTCAATCAGAGCATGACAGCTAGTAGTAAAAGAGCATTTTGATAATGTGTACATTGTGTCATAGGAGATTTGACCTAGTTGGGGCGGTCAGGAAAGTGTTCCGTGAAGAAGTCATGATGGAGCTGGGATCTGATGGATGAACAGACATTAACCGGCAAAGAAGGGAAAGGGACGATTCCAGAAAGTGAGAACAGCAGAGGCAAAGGCTTTGAGAAGGGATGGGACGAGGGGGGAGAGAATGAGGGCCGGGAGAGGCCTGGGGCACGGCTGAGAGTCAAACTATTTAATAACCTCATGCAGCAGTGGGCATGGTCACTGAGAGCTGATACCTAGACAGTCACCTGCTGTTGTTATATTTCCTTCTTCTTAAGAGCACTGAGAAGTGGGTTAATGCAGGGTGGGGATGTGTGTCTTGGGAAGATTGCATTTACAATTTGAAAAGCTGATTCTGGCTGCAGGATGCTGGAATCAAGTGTGAGGGGAGTGAAATTTGAAGGAACTTTAAGTGGAAAGGTTTTTTTTGGAGAAGGAAGCCCAAGGTGTGGGCGGGCTTTCCAGAGCATCAGTGGGGATTAGCAGCAGGAGAGGGGAGTTTGACCTTTAATTTCAGAGGTCATGGCAGTTCGGCTTGGCTTCCCACCCCCACTCTCACCCCCATCTTTGGCTTCCATTACCCCGAATCACTCTTTTACGTTGCCAAATCACAGGCTGAAGGAGGGTGGGTGTGCAGCTGTAGCAGGAGACAGAGGTTCCGAAGCACAGCCCAGCCCTGAGAAGAAACCGGCAGGGCATTCATAAAGCTAGATCAAGCCACACAGCAGTATCTTCTGTAGCTTGGGGAACTGCTTTTGGCATTGAAGACACTTTCCGTCAAATAGGATGAATGAAAATCACATTTCTCTTTTCTCTCTCTTTTCCCTCCAGGCTTATATTTGGCACCCTTTACCCTGCGTATTATTCCTACAAGGCTGTGAAATCGAAGGACATTAAAGAATATGTAAGTAGCACTGATGGGTGGGGTCCCGATGGTTGTGGAGAAGCGGGGTGTGAAGTAGTGGGAGAAGGAGGTTGCCCTCTGAGGTACGGGCACTGGTAGCAGGGCAGAGGAACCCCTCCTGTACTCTTTTTCTCATGAGGCTTGCCTTGCGTGGTCCAGGAGTCCTCCCCACGTCTGGACCCCTGTAGAACCACAGAATGGAAGGGAGGTATGGCAAGAGGAAATGGAATCAGGGATCAGAGGCCACCCAGGCTGCCACATACCACTGTGTGGCCTTGGACAAATGACTTTACCTCTCTGAGCCTCAGTTTCCTTGTCTGGAAAACACTGTGTAGACCACCGTTACTGGGAGATAGTCCGCCATGGGGGACAGGAGCTCAGGTCCTCCTGCCTCTGTGATTCTGGCAGTGATCCCTATTCCAGTTGTGTGATTTGAGTACCCCACGATTTAAACTCTGTTGCTTTATAAGCTTTTTGAGAACAGGGGCTGGTCATCATCTTTCATCTGATTCCCCAGCACCTAGCAGAGGGCTGAACATGTAGGAAGGGAAACCAGAGTACTTATGGGTTGGAGGATCGTATTATTGCTGGTTGGCACCATCACAGCCCTACATGTGCTGGGCACCTCTAGGCAGGAGAATCATCAGGCCACCCCTGATTGGCAAACACCTACGTGGGGTGGCTGATGAGGAAAGGGTGCCCCATCCCATGTAGGGCAGAAACACAGGTCAAACTACAGAGGACATGAATTTGTGCATCAGGAGTCTGAAGTCAAGTGCTGGCTCTGACATTTGATGGATGCAATGCTGGACAAGAAGCTTAACTTCCAAGAGCCTTGGTTTCCTAATTGGAGGGGTGAATATCAGCAGTCCTGGCCCTTAGTGTTGTGAGGGACAAAGGATCTTTACTTTTCTTTTACTCGGAAGTCACTTTGGAAGTTTGCCACAGGTAAAGAAATAAAGTGTATTTGAAAGTCACTTTCTTTCTCAGATTTTCCAGGATGTCTTTGTGATGAAAATCAGCCACCTCCAGGTCAGCTGCAAGTGGAACTCAACCCTCACCCCAGGCCCCATTTCCTCAGTTTCCCTGAGCTGCTTGTCTGGGCTTGCATCTGCTAAGCAGGGGATCCAGACAGGGGTGGGTTCTCTGGAGACTGGATCCCTGGTATATTCGAGGGAGTCTCAGAGTGTGAACTCTAAATAGCTGTTAAGTTGCAAGCACAGAACCTCATGATTCTAAATTGGCATGGCGCAGGGATAAAGCATGAGGCGGCCTCTCCCAAAGTCTCTCTCCTGACCCCTTCCAGCCAGCCAAGGGTACAGGGAAGCTGTGCCACGTAAGAAGGCATAATCAGGGTCACCATGGTTCAGGGTCTGATCCTCCGCTTTGCAGGGACAGAAACTCAATTCTGTCAGCTCATCTGGGAGAGATCAGACCCTGGTAAATTGTTTTGCTTTGACCAAACTCACAGGAGCCTGGTTTATGACTAAAATGGCAATTCATTAATTTAGAATGAAAAATATAACTGACAAGCAGAGCAGCTGTTTGTGTTGGCTAGAGAGCACGAGTTTTTCCCAGTAGGGCAAGCTTGAGAGTTAAGATTAGAAGGTTTCTTGGTAAAAATTGAACTGAAAGAAAGGAACTGAGTAGTACGAGAAGAGATCTGCCTGCTTTTCCTGCACTTGCTCATGCGCACGCACACACTCACTCTCTCACACATGCTCTCACATGTGCTCTTGCACACACCCTCACACTCACACACACACATGCTCTCCAACACTTTCTCACACTCGCATGTGCTCTCACACATTTTCTCACTCACACACCCATGACTCACTCACATGCTCTCTCACACTCACATATTCTCTCACACATGTTCTATTATACACACACACTTCTCACACTCACATGCTCTCACTCACTCCCATGCACTCTCACATGCTCTCTCACTCACACTCACATACTCTCTCACACATGTTCTCCCACTCATATACCCCACACACTTCTCACACTCACATGCTCTCTCACCCACTCTCACATAGTCTCACACACACTCTCACACATATTCTCTCACACTCATACGCTCTCGCCCACTCTCACACTCATGCTCACACACTCTCTCACACACTTTCATGTGCACTGTCACACACATTCACACTCACCATTACACTGACCCCTTTCCCTCATTTATACCAATAAACCCATTTGTCCAAGACAGAAACCTGGAACTGCCTTCAACTTCTGCCTCCCCCTCACCACCCAACCCCATCCACACACCCAGTTGCTGACTGTGTCCGTCTCTAACCCCCTAATAGTACTTCAAACCAGGTCTCTCCTCCAGTGCTGCCACTCCCTTAAATGCGGTTCTTACCACGTTTTCCCTGGAATGCTACAATAGCCTACTGTATTTGTTTTTTATTGCCACTGTAACAAATTACCATGAACTCAGTGCCTTAAAACAACACAAAGATATTATGTCCCAGTTCTAGAGGTCAGAAGTCTCATGGGTCTCACTGGGCTAAAATCAGGCCGGGACACATTCCTTCTGGAGACTATAGGGGAGAATCCATTTCCTTGTCTTTTCCAGTTCCTAGAGGCCATCTGCATTCCTTGGCTCCTGCCCCTTCCTCCATCTTCAGAGCCAACGGGTAGCATCTCTGACCATTCTTTCATAGTCACATTTCACTTAGATGACAGCCTCTTGGTGACAGCCAAGTTCACATCACAGGAAAGCTCTGGTGAGGAAGGTGCTGCCGATGTCACCACCAGGGACACTGGCTGCCAGCTGTCTGTGCCTTTGGAACAGTCCCTGCAGATTCAAAATCCTAAATCCGAGCATTTGACTTTTCTAAGCCTATGTAACAGGCCTTGTCTTCCACAAAGATCCTCATGCTGGGAGACTCTCCCCAAATTAAAAGGTATTGGATGTTGGTAGTAAAAACAAATAAATATAGATATAGATCTATCTCTATTACAGTTACTTCTTTGGCTGCTCAACACCCACATTCACTCCTTAGCCCATATTTTGGCTTTAAAGAAACTTTCCAACGAGAATTCTATATGATTTATGTACTTGGCAAATCCAATTTTTTTCCAGCTGAGTCCAGCACCAATCCAGTATCTCTGGCAAAGTCCTCTCCTCCTCTGGCTCTGATCTTAATATTCAGCACTCTAAAAATTAAATTGTCAAGTGAACCATCACTGACATACCCCATATACTATATTAGGGAGAGAAAGAGAATACATAAAAATAAAACTAGTTAAAATATTTAAATCTATACAGAATACAGAAAGGAAGAAAATATGGATAGAAGCTATAGTCCTTAGTCATGCAAGTAGTCATGAGTTCATAGCTGGTACTCATGTCTTTTGTTAAAAGATAAATTTTTTTAAAAGGGTAAAATCATGACTCTTGTACAAAAATAAAGTTGACACATGTTGAAATTTTACTTAACTCATTAATTAATAAGGGAACCAGTAAGGTGTTAAAAAAAAAACAACAACAATTCAAAGGAGCTTCCAAAGAACAGATGTATCTGAGAAATCAGGAATGATTAAATATATTTACTAATAGATATTCAGCTGATTTTGGAGGAGGGTGGGGAGATCCATTGGACAAAGTTTATTTGCACCTCTATGGACAAAATCATTTGCATTGCAGTCAGTTTTCTATAACTTACAAAGTTGTAAAATAGCTCAAAGATATTGAAAAACAAGACACCTGTAGAATCAAGATAATTCAGAAGGATGCTCTGGGCAGCACCTAGCATTTTACAGAACATCCATTCCAAACTCTTTCATAATTTTTCCTACTACTTCCCTCTTCTACCATCTAATTCATGTTCCCTTTGTCTTCAGTCAGAGCTTTAGTGAATGGGGTTCCTTAATCAGGGGTGTGGCCTAAATCTTCATTTGTGGGCAATCTGGGACCTTAGTAATCTTGCCTCTGTAAGGTTGTAGTGATGATCCATTGACTTTTACCTCTGAACAAGGTGGTACTTACTCACACAAGTGATCACACTCAGATCCCCCCCACAGAGAATTCTTAACTTCCATCCACCCTCCTTCCTGCCACATTGTGTAGCAGCCACCCTGGTTCCCCTTGATAATCAGGATCAGTCCTTTATTATCTATTTCCTAGAGGCATCGTGGTCCTGAAATGGCCAGGTAGGAGTGTAGTTTCTGCTTTCATGTCATTGGAATCATTTTGTATCCCTGGTGAAAGCACCCATTCCTCAGGTACTAGAAGAATTAAAAAGCAGAACTCAGAGACTTGAAGATAAAAAACAAAAATGTTGTCAATCAGTTAGACCAGTGATTCTCAAACTTCAATGTGCATATAGAATGAATAGAGGATTTTATTAAAATGCAGATGCTGATCCATTATGTCTGGGGTGTGTCCTGAGATTCTACATCTCTAAGAAGCTCCTAGATGATTCCATCTCTAAAAAGCTCCTAGATGATTCCAATGGTGCTGATCCATGAACCACAATTTGAGTTGCAAGAAGCTGGCAATAGGCTTACCCATAAGAAACACCGCTCTCATTTCCTTGGTCCCTGAACCTTTAGGTTCTGGCTAAGCTGCAGAAGCATGTGTTAGTTACTGGTTCATGGAAGAAACTACATCCTCCAGGGCAGTGCATCAATCACACAGAATGCTGACTCCCCCGTTGGTTTTCTTTCTGAACTCTCCTCAAGCTGTTGCAACACCCTTTAAAGCTGGCTGCCTCGAGGCAGTGGGGGGGGCACAGTAAGGTCAGAGACTCCCCAAAGTGTCAGCCTATTGTCTTGGATTTCTTTTGCTATTAAAGAAGGTCCTTGGTTGGAAGGAGTGTTGGGTGGCATGCATCAAAATGAAAAGGACACTGAGTCCACAACTTATTCTACAGCTGCCAGAAACATGGCAGCAGGAAAAGCAAGTCCGCATGCAGAATAAGTGAATATTCCAGAAGAGATTCTACTGCCTTTTCTGTGAGGGAAGGGGCCTGGTACGATGAACC